AAAATGTTCGTCAGTACGCTGCTGATGGTATGCCCACATGCTCGTTCTGTCTTCGGGATTTCAAGAACTGGCAGAATCTATACACACATTTGCTGCATTCGCGCTGTACCGCAGTGACAGCAGGGCTCGAACCAGTAGCGGCTACCTTGACTGCCTCCGCTACGGTTTTGCCCTTTGTCAGGAACTCTGCATTTCTGGCTAAGCTTCGTCAAAATGGTATTCAGCCCTTGCGGAAAGCGGATGAAGTATTGCAGGAACTTCGACATCATTGCTGTATCTGCAGGCAATGGCTGGTGCACTCAGACTATGCGTGTTCGCATTATAAGAAAACTCATGTGGCCATATGGAAGGAGCTTGAACATCGTGTTCGAGCTCTGGTGCGACCCAGTTATTTGAGTGCACAATGTCCGTACTGCTTGCGCAGGCCCTCTCGGAGAGGCCGACACAGATGCCCTGTTCTTATGCAGGTACATCTGGCCATACTGCTGGATGGACGAGAATCTTCGCGAGGGACAGGAGCTGGCCCCTCCCAGTCGGGAGGAAACCAAGTACTTTACGGACATGTTTCCCAAACCACATTCTCCCACCCAGCTGACGGAGCCGACAGCCCCTATGGACACCAGTGCTCAACCAAAGCGTGGCATTTTAGAAGGCTCTTCGGCCAAGGAGGAGGGACAGCAGAAAGCTTTCAAGGCAGCGGAGCGCACAGCACAGAAAGCAGAGCCAGCGATGACAGTTTCCACCACGGCCACACCGACAGGCTCCCAGAGCTCTCAGACTCAGCAATCCCTGCCATCGGCTCCCCCCTTGACAACAGGCAACGACACACAGCAGAAGGGCAAGAACAAGGGGAAGAAGGACAAGAACAAAGGCAAAGGCAAGGGTCAAAAGAATGGCAGCAACGGCCCTTGGCAGACTTCTTCAAGCCATCAAGACAATCTGGTGTCAGCCATAGGTCGCCTGTGTCTGAGACACGAAGATGCGATCGCGATACAACAGGCCAACCAAGGATATATCTTTTTCCTACGCACCACAGGTCCAGAATCGATTATCCAGCCACTGGCCAGAGTATCGCAAGCGTGGAACCAAGCCAAAGAAACCGAGATACCCCGCCACCCTCTTCGAATCGTTCTTCTGTCAGCTCTTCTGGAAGCCACCATAGAGCGTGTAGAAGCGGCCGTGAGTCCGGAGAAGAGGGAAGCTACGGTACAGACAGGCATGGTGATCGACCAGGGTGGCGAGATGTACTGGCCTTACATCCAGTGGAACCAGGAACAGCGCACGAGGAGGTGATGCCCACAGACCAGGTTCGGCCGTTGGAACACACGAGACTACTCCGGAAATTGAATCAACTGCGAGACTCCATCACGCCGGAGAACGTTTTGAGGTGTCATGGTCACCACAAAATTGCGGAGAATCTGGAAACCGAGGTCTATCGGCTGGTTCTGGAAGTCGAGACGGTTGGAGACGAAGCTCAGAACATTCACGAGTGGCTTCGTCTTCTTGTGAATTGCACGGTTTGGAAGCTGATAGGAGGCCGGTTCCGGAGGGGGAGATTGGGGCGCTCGCCACTGGCGAAGCACTTGGGCGAGCTCCTGGGACAATAATGCATTGTTCCAATACAGCCCTTGCTACTCTGCGACCTCTTCGATCCTACAAGGTGCCGAACATGACATTACAGAACCCTCACAATGTCTGCTATGCGAACGCGATTGCCATTTCACTTGCCTGGCTTGGATATGTATATCAAAACCACACTCATGTTGGTGGCAGGTGCACTGGATGTTTGAGTGTTGTGCACGGAGCTTGGATGCTGCTTCTTACGAATTCTTTGCCGTGGCTGATGGTCTTTGCTGACTGGCCTCAGGCTCATGAGCAGCATGATGCAGCGGAATTTCTTTCTCATTTCCTTTCCAAGGCTGCACCGAATGCTTTTACCAGTCTATGGCAGTCACGAGCAGAATATGAGCATGGTATTCATGTTCAGGAACGTGGTACATTGATGATTCCCCTGGTCCTGGACAGGTTGGGTACAGATCTTCAATCCTGTGTTGATATGTGGGAAAATCAGTATGATGTACGGCCCGATATTTGGCAACCATTCGTCCGTGCACTCTGCACATTTGGTCTTGATCATGGAATGGTTCTGCAGCTTCAGCGGTTTGTGTTTACTGCATCGGGAGCCAACAAAGTTTGCAACAGGGTTATAGTGCGACCGGGTCAAACAGTGGCGGTACCAGTATTTGAGAATGATAATTCCACGGCCACGTATATGGTAAGTTGTCGACTCGCTTTTGTGGTATATCACCTTGGACCTACCATGCTTGCTGGTCATTACAAAACAGCTCTATGTGTTCCTGGTACATCCTTGGGATTTCGTGAAGGCTGGAAGTTCGTTATATGTAACGATGCCCAAAAGCCATATCTGGCCTCTGCAAATGACTATGCAGAAATTGAGACTGGTTGCTATTTACTTGGGCTATATCGTTCTTCGTCTCTGGCTGAAGCAGGATGACTCTTTCTGGTTGCTACCGGCCCTGCGGCTGGCATTCTGAGCGCTGAGAGCCCCGGTAGTTGCTGTGACGAGTGATGATTTGATGTCAAAGCCTGATACGGCTTGCTTAAGCTTCGTGGGTCACACTGCTTCAGTTCACAAGGGCTGTATCCTGGCTTTGACATTTTCGCGGAACGTACCAACTGCTGCACGCCAGGCCGTGGTCTTACTTTTATCCAATACTCTCACATTCCCTCAGTTTATTGTTGGGTACTCTGCATCCTGGTGTGTTATCCCTGGCCCATAACTGTTACTGATCGAATTACTCTGACCACGACGGCCCTGCGTCTGAATCTGTCCATCGATTTGTAAGTGCATGGTGCCGTATGTGCGGTCTTCCCTCTCTAAATATGACTGTTTTGGACTTCGCTTCATCGCAAGGTTCTGGTTTTGGGTTTCATGCTGACAGCTTTAAAGACCGTGCCTCTGGCAACCCTGCGATTCCGGACGCATCCGATTTCTCATGAGTGACTGCCATGTATGTCTGCTCCCATGCGGAGATTTCATGCTGAGTTCTTAGCGGTTTTCTCTTGCACTATGTACCTGGTGGGAATCCTTATCCCACTTTCATGGCAGTCACACGCGAGTGCTGAACTCCGGCCTTGAAGGCCTTGAGAACTTACCATGTGCTTCTGCCAACTGACTTGTAAAGTGCATACAGCTGTACTTGCGAACTTTCATTCCAGAACGCTATACTGGGGTTTTCGTTCTTTTGGTTGCTCCTTCAGAGTGTATGCACCTCTGGCAGTTCATCTTGCTATGAGCACGTTCTTGAGCTGCTTTTCTTTTTATCATATCTTGTCCCCGCATTGGGCTTTTCTCAACGTGCTGTTTCGCTCGATGCAGTTCAGAGAACGTACCAACTGGCCGTGATGGTCCTGCATGTATTGCTGCTGCTATAGACTTGTAATGTGCCTTCGGCAATGACAGGGTCCGCCCTATTCCGTCCTAAACCTTTTTGCTTATCTTCACTTACCGATATCTTGGCTGTTGTTTCATACTTTGCGAAGGCCACTAACAGCAGTCCTCCTGATCTGATGCTATGGACATATCACCGTGATCGCGACCTTTGGCGTAGCTCTTGGAGTAATTTTGGCCACGCCCCGTTCCTCACAATCGGTGATTTGTCCTCGCGGATCGCAACCATCCTTCAGGCTGTGAGGTGGCAATATGTTATACTACTTGTTGTTCTTACTGGTATTAAACAGCACACGTCTGTGCTTTGCCGCCTGGCCTGACGTCTTCTTTGGGCTGCATGCCTACAGACTTTTCAATCCTTCGGAGCGGAAATGTCAACATATCCATTATGACAGTGGGTTGCTTGTTATGTTGGTTTCTGGCTTCACACTCTTCTCAATCCGTGGCATTCTGCTTGCTGGAGGGCCATAGCCTTTACTTCGGCTTTTGGACGGACACCAGCTGTTGACCTTGGTCTTGATTGTTGACCCTCGTCATATGGCATATCCTGCACCTGTTTTGATATGCGTGGTGACCTTCCATTTGCCTGTGTACATCCTTGCTTGGGTCTACGGACCGGGGGATACGTTGCTGGAGTGCGTGCTTGGTCCTTCGGGGCGGCGCACGGCTCTATGCACTCCTTCCCTTCTTACTTTCCTGTACTGGATCACAAAGTGAGCGACCATGTCGCCGTGCAATACGCACGTCCTTACAGCTCGCTACGTTCGGTCGCCGGACAGCGCTTCAAAGTCAAAAAGTCTTTTGTTCTAGTAGTACTTGATACCACAACCACCGTATTTTTAATTAGGGAAAACAATTCTGCAAGCTCGAATTGCTTTCATTTCAGGTTCAGAAACGAGGTTCACTGCCGCATCATTTTTCTATTCATCTTCAATATCTTTTTATAGATCAGTTGGTAATCTCATCGATTTATTTCTTCGGGCTCATTGATATATTGAAATATTATCGACTTAACTAACTCCTTAAAAATTTTTAAACCAATTGAATTCTTGCAAGGAAGCCAGCAATTTTGGAAGGCGAATGGGCTGCCACTGGCTTGGTTCGATGCTAGCGCATCACGTGAAGGGTTCAAAAGAGTGAAGGAGGAGCCAAACCCGACCCAAGCCGATGTTTCATTGATGCAGCATTCCTTCCGGGGACGGATAAGCATAACCTTGGGGTTGTTTCTCCGTGAAGACCAAGGAGCTGAATATCGGTGCCATGTCAACTTCCCTTGTATTTCCTACAAAATCAGAGAACATTGATAAGGAGGCCGATGGAATTTGAGCCACGTACGTGAGTTATTGAAAGAAAGCATGAGTTTCTGCAACTTTGGCCGAGAATGAACCATGGATTGTCATGTTTTTCCATGTTGTGTTCTCTATGCTATACTCTCTCTATGTTGTGCTTTACTCTACTGAGACGACTGTTCTGGTACCTCGGAAGTTTTGATTTGCATAGTGGACTATTCGAAGCTCCTTTGCTCGCCATGTCCTCGTTAATCGATAGCGGTGCACACTTTAAAAGGCGTGCGGATGAGGTCGGCCTCAGCAGTGCGGGATGGACCATCCTGCAGGCACTTGGCATCACCTCAGTGGGCAAGGCTGTACACAATTACGTCGCCGGGTGAGCCGGTCACGGAGCCCATATTCCGAGATTGGGTTGCCGATAATGCTGCTGGCATGACTTTGGGTGATCAATCGTGCGTCAAGCGGCTGGTGTTTGAGTCTCAAACTCTAGTCGTGGCCGAGTTGCGCGACCAAGTGTCAGGGTCACAATCATCTGCTCCCCGTCGTGTTCCTGAGGCTGAACGCGACAGAAGATTGAATGATCTTCGTGCCGCCCTCCCGGGCATCACGCTGGAGGGTGTGAACAGCCAAGCAATGCCCTGCTCGTCTCGTGTTGTCAGCAGGAGCGAGACAACTTCCTTAAGTACATCCCGCCTGAGAAAGCCACCAGCCGCACTCACGAACTTACCAATCCGAAGCCGACCCATCAGGCCCTGCAAGTCGAAGCCTCCAAAATAGTTCTCAAGAGCGACGACGATGCCGTCGAGTATCAGTCAATGCACTCCAAACCATGGAGGCATTCAGACGTCGAGGTTTGGCCTTGGTGTTTGCGCAAATGATTTCCTATGATGCTTACGACCGGTATTTGAATCGACTCTTCAACCATTTGTCCCGTGACCCACCGCCAGGGCTCAATCGTGTGAATGTGACACAATTGGTCCTCAGGTGTGGCGGCATTCGCCTTCAGATCGACAAGATCCTTGGGCATCGCGGGAGAACCTTTGGCACCTTTGCCTCGGCCCTTGCCTTTGGGCTGCTTCGTGGGGGGATCCTGCGTGGAAGGCCGAGAGGGATGGCGCTTCCGGTTGTTCCTAAAGGGGTTCTTGCCTTGGGGAGCTTGGTGCATGAGTGCAATGGAGACCTTTTAGTAGGATTCCAAACCGCGGTGCATCTCTTTGTCAAGGGGATACTCACCGGAAGCATCCTTCCTTGGCTTGACGCCCCATTCGGCCAAGAGGGCAAACACCTGCTTGTCAGCATTTGCCAGGTGCTTCCAGCCGCACTCAATCCGCAAGTGTGCCGCTGCCGGGGCGTGAAAGCTTTCGCGACCTTCTGATACAGTTTTGCTTCCTGATTCACAGCTGTCTGAGCCTGCCTCACCTCCTGTAGCCACAGGAGACCTGGCTGATGCATGCAATCCCGTCTCCCCACCTTGTGAACAGTATGCCCAAACCTTGCTTTCCCGCAGTACATTGAGTGCTGCGGATGTGTTGGGCTTGGTTTCTTTTCTGCAACCCGAATCGCCTCGCTTTCCTGGCGAGTTCAGTTGGGCTACCGGTGCTTACGTACATGGCGGCATAGTTGGCCTGAAGGCCTGAAACACAATCTAACTCATTTTCCATTTTCGTCCCGTGTCTTGGCGACCTTGGTTTCCAATACATTCCCACGACTAGAGTTTACCTCCATTGTGGTTAGTCAACACCCTCACTCCTGCGCACCAAGACCTCAACAATCATTTGGGCTTTCCCAACGCGTTGATTCCTCTCAGTAACTTTGAAGCCGGCGGTCTTTGGATCGAGGGAGCTGGCGATGAGGTTTGTCCCGACCCCGGGCACCCAGACGCCAAGGGACATGTTTTGCAACTGCATGAGCCAATTCAGTTTGACGCGCATCAACTGCATGCTACGTGCCTTTGGACTGGCAATCGTGCTGTGCTAGCAGCATTCGTGATCAATGATTTTCACAAGTTGGATGCTCAGCATCGCCAGCTTTTGCAACAGACTGCCTTCCGTCTGCCGAGCCTGTCAACCGGAAAGCTCCTTCCTTCACGCCCCAGCATTGCCTCGCGGTTTCCAGTGATCCTTGAGATTTTCGCAGGTACTGCGCGTGTAACAGCAGCCTTGCGCCGCTGTGGTTTCGTCGGCTCCCAAGGTGTTGATCACGTGGTCGTGGATCATGCTGCCTGCCTTGTCATGTTGGCAGATTTGACTACTCATGAGGGCCAGAGTATGGTAATGCTGTGGCTGTCGAGTCCTCATGTTGTGGGTGTTTTCATCGCTCCACCATGCGGTACCAGCTCCCGTGCCCGAGAAATTGCACTCCCCGGACCTTCCCCCGCCCCTCGTTCGCTTGATTTCCCTGACGGGCTATTTCACTTGTTTGGTCTCAGTATGGTTCGTGTCAACAAGGCCAATCAGCTGTACCACTTTACGTCGACGATCTGTGCCGAGGCCCACCGTCGGAGCCTCATCATTGCTGTGGAAAACCCGCGAAGCAGTCTTTATTGGTCCACCAGCTTCTGGAAAACTGGCCCCGCTTTCTGTCCAATGCATACCGACTTCCAACACTGTGCCTTTGGCGGGCGTCGGCCCAAGTGAATTCGCCTGTGCCACAACCACCATGCCTTCCACGCCTTGCATCGTGTGTGCCCGGGGGGCGCGTGTGCTGCCCATCACTTGCCTTGGGGTCGTGGGGAACACGGCGCCTTCGCCACGGCCGCTGAAAGCGCTTACCCGCCGCAGCTGGCCACAGCCATCGCCCAATGCTTTGCTCAGGCCGTTACCTTCTTGCCCGAGGCCGAGCCCTCCCTTGCGGCCATGAGAGCCACTTCTGGCCTTCAACCAAAGGCCTCCGCCGTGCCACCTCTCGTGCCCGAGCACAAAGCCGTGCTTGTCATGCGCGGGCCCAACGACCTCGCTGCCCTGCCTGCGCTCCGAAGCCGGCTGCCGGAGCCGTGGACTGACGCCCGCTTCGAGCCTGCTGCAACCGTGCCAGCACACAGTCAGTTACTCCGAGCGGACAATAGGGGAAGTGACCCAACTTGAATTGGCCTGGGGCGTATCTTGGTCCGCAGAAGAGTTCTTACATAAAGCGGTCCAAGCGGGACATCCTAAAAGGTTTGACTCGCTACTGCCTTCCGCATTAAGCCACAGCATAGATGTGAATGCAAAATCATCGCCGGCCGATAGAGCCAGCCTCAGAGCCGAATGGTTTGCAAAGTGGACCAAACGTGCGGCAGAGGTTTCTGAGGATGAGAAGAAGCTTAAGAGCTCCCTCCCAGAGTATACCCGGAAAATTGTCCTGCTAAAAAGGATCTTATTGTGGCGTGAAATTCCAGAGGATCTCAAGTATCCGGATATTGGAGTGCTAGATGAAATGCTGGAAGGAGTGCACCTGACGGGTCAGACCCCTTGCACTGGAGTCTTTCCGGGAGCCTTTAAGCCAGCAAAACAGACTTCGGAACAGCTACGCTCCAAGGCCAGCGAGTCCCGCCAGAAGATCCTTGATGCGATTAAATCGCAGGGGCACCTGGATGAGGCGCTGGAACAAAAGGTCGACGAAGAGGTGGAGCTTGGCTGGCTGTCCGAGCGAATAGACCCTGCCGATTTGCCGGAAGGCGCCACAATCAGCAGGAGGTTTGCGATCGAACAGTCGGGCAAGATTCGCTTGATAGATGACCTTAGCGACAGTGGTGTCAATGGTTCCGTCCAAACCACCGAGAGTCCCAAGCCTCAATCCCTCGATGTGGTCGCTGCTATGGCCTTGGCGTGCCTCAGGAAGCTGCCCGGGATCCCCATGCTAGGGAAAACGTTCGACCTGAAGAGTGCATACAGGCAAATGTTTGTGTCGCCGGACGACCTCAAGGAGGCCTACATTGCTTACCTCAGCCACCGTGAAGGTCGAGTGATTGTAAGGCAAATGCTTGCGCTCCCGTTCGGAGCGACCAGGGCGGTGTTCTCTTACTTGCGAGTGGCACATTCTATGTGGTACATCGGGTGCTGGGCGGTGAAACTGATATGGTCGCACTTCTTTGACGACTTCTTAAGTCTGGCGACTCAGGTCGAAGCCAAAGCAGTCGACCTAGCAATCTCTTCATTGTTCAGGTTGCTGGGGTGGAAGGTCTCAGAGGACAAGGACAAACCCTTTGCCGAGAGCTTTGCTGCGCTTGGGGTACGGGTTAGTTTCGAAAGGTTCTTGCAAGGGGAGGTTCTCTTCCATAACACGGAAAAGCGTATCTTAGAGGTTTCAGCCACAGTGCGCCGTGCAGCTGACGATCCAGCCCTCACCCAGAAGGACCTCTCACGCATTCGGGGTCGCATGGTCTTTGCAGGGGGCCAGCTCTTCGGAAGAGCCGGCCGGTTATGCGTGGCCGCCCTGGCTGGTGAAAGCTGCTCGACCAAAGCAAACCTCAGCAACGATGCAAAGCAAGCTATGCGCCAGTTTGCCGACCTGCGTGAGGCCAACTGGCCGCGCGTGCTTAAAGATGTGTCAGCAGATCCGGTGTACATCTTCACTGATGCTTCGTATTCCGAAACAAGTGGAGGTACTTTCTGCGGTATACGTGGAGTCTGTTTCGACCACGAAAGCCGCCCCCTTGGATTTTTCTCCAAGGAACTTTCTAGTTTTCAGAAACGTCTTCTAGGAGAGGGCAGGTCCAAGACCATCATCTTCGAGGCGGAACTTGCAACAATCGTGGTCGCATATGTCCTATGGAAAGATTGGCTTAGGGGAAAACCCGCTGTGATTTTTGTGGACAATAACTCCGCTAGAGACGTGTCAATCAGTGGCACCTCACGGAATGATGTGGGCAAGTCACTTGCATCACTTCTTTTAACGGTGGAATCCTTAGCCAAGACCTTTTCGTGGTTCGCGCGTGTTCCATCGCCATCGAACATAGCAGACACGCCTTCACGTGAAGTGCTGAAAAGCTTTACAGTGTCAGGTTGCCCCGTCCCTCACTTCCCATGCGAGAACATTGTGTCAGAAGTTCTGGGCATTTTGGTCAAGTAATACAATGGATAAGAAGGGGAGAATTCTTGATATCGGTTACACATTCTTTTGCAGGCCATGATTGTTCCGCCAGGCGATGATGTTCCGCCATCCGTAGTTGCAGGTTGAGGCTAAATGCCTCATTGCACCAAGGTACCCCTTGTCACCGCTGGTGAAAATGTCAGAAGCCTCCGGAATGCCGAGTGTGTTGCTGTTTTCTCTTGAGTGTGAAGCTTCACATGCCAAGCTGCTAAGCCCTCAAGCGTGATCCCTAATTCGGCAGCCGTTTTTGCTCAAGATATTAAGGAGGCCGTCAGTGCGAGCGCTGATAGTCCCTTAATATCTTGAGCACAAATTTTCTTGAAAAATCGGGCTTTGATTTTTAAAGAAAATGGCTGCCATAAGTTTTCTGTCAGTGTGAGCGCCAAGTGGTGCTATTTTGCATCTTCTTGTCATCCGCGCTCGCCATCTCAAGGCATTTTGAAGTCGGTGTGCACAAGCATCAGTGGCACTATGCTGTAACTCCACGAACAAGCCACAAGTCTTGCACATGTAAGGTTGCAGAAATTTTTCTCTTCCCGCCCACCCACACCACTTGCATCTCAGATCTTGCGGCGAGTGACGCCACCTGCAGCCGAGTGCCGCATGCGTGAATCTAATCCCTCTGCATACCCCTGCCGATCCGGTCAGCGCGACCGCGGGTGCTTCGCTCATAATGCGTTCGGGGAGAATTCTTGATATCGGTTACACATTCTTTTGCAGGCGATGATTGTTCCGCCAGGCGATGATGTACCGCCATCCGTAGTTGCAGGTTGAGGCTAAATGCCTCATTGCACCAAGGTACCCCTTGTCACCGCTGGTGAAAATGTCAGAAGCCTCCGGAATGCCGAGTGTGTTGCTGTTTTCTCTTGAGTGTGAAGCTTCACATGCCAAGCTGCTAAGCCCTCAAGCGTGATCCCTAATTCGGCAGCCGTTTTTGCTCAAGATATTAAGGCTTAGGTAAGGCACGCCATTTACAAGTGGACCTCTTATGGATCCAAAGAATCCCGAAGCTCGTTATAAAGGCGATAGCCGGAAAGGACAATCCCTCAGACTTAGGGACCAAATCCCTGACACGGGAGAAGATACGCAAGTATATGCTAAGTCTAGGATATACAGGTGAGTTTTTGACACCAAGTGCTCAAGAAGTCCAAGAAGCTGAAGTGAGAAGAACAAGAAGTGTTACAAGACTTGATGAAAGGATGATTACAAGGATTATCCAGACGGTTACGACCGCAGTGTTGTTATCGTTGGCTGAAGCAAGAAGATTCGGTGAAGAAGGTGAACAAGGACTGGGAAGAGCAAGTGTAGTGTGCATACTGTTGTGCATGTTTACAGCAGCGATCATGCATAAAGTTGCAAGCGCAGCCGTTTTGCTCAAGAGATTCAAAGAAGTCCTGAAGAGAGAAGAAAAGGAAGAAGAAAGGACAAGAGCAATGGCTGATGATGATGCAGTTAAGTACATGATCACAGAAAGAAGCAGAAGCATCGAGGCAACCGAATACCTCAGGAAAGTGCTCATCACGGAAAGGAGCAAGAGACCAAGTGCTGATGACCTTTGGAAAGAAGTAGAGGCACTCAACAGACAGCGCGAAGGCCTCAACATACAGAGTGAAGACACAGAGGCTGATGAAGGTAAGGAAAAGAAGGAAGAGCAGCCAAAGAAGAGCGAAGATGAAACGAAGAAAAAGGAGGAAAGTGAAGCAGCGTCGGACCCAGAGTCCGATGATGAAGAGTCGAAGGAAAGCGAGTCAGCAGAAGACGACGAGCAAGAGAAAGGAAAGAAAGAGAAGAAAGAAGAAGAAGGAGAAGAAGATATGGAAAGCTTCAAGAAGACCGCCGAAGAATTGGCACAAGAAACGGAGAAGCTGAAGAAATCAAAGGAGGCGAACTTCGAAGCCTTGGAAGAGAGGCAGGTTAGCATACCTGAAAGCATCAAAGATGGAACAAGAGAGCAGAGAAGAATTATGAACAAAAGGACTACAGGAGCTTATGTGGGCATTATTGCATGGACTTTGTGCATTCATAGAACAACCGGCAACCGCAGGCATTTCGGCCCACAGTGAGAAGCATCAAGAAGCTGGAGGCACAAGCAAAAGGATGGAGGAAGTCATGGACGTCCTGATGATCACGTTAAGTGTTATGGGAATAATCTTCCTGATCCAGCAAGTGATGAAAGGGTATAAGATTCTGCGCCAAAAGGTGAAGTTCCTGGGGGCCGGAGAGCCGGTTTACGTATACCCAACAAGGCATGTTTATCATAAGCGGACGTGCAAGTGGTGGAGCCCACCACCTGCTACAGAAGAGATGTCTATCGAGACTGCAAGAAATAAAGGATGCAGGTCATGCTGGGTATGCCACCCAGAGGACAAAGGAAATAACAGTGGTGAAAGGCCTTCTAACCCGCCAAGACAACAGACCACAGAAGTATGCATGGCAACATGCGACTGGTGCGGAGAAAGTCGTTGTGGACGCAATAAGAGAAATCACACCACCCATAGCTGCACGGAATGTATCCGTGACCACGCAGAAGCAAGCTGGAGAGAGTGGTATGATGAAGGGGATAACGAAGGAGAAAGTGATGGCCAACGACCTCAAGAAGAAGTGGTTAATAGCAACAATAGGCCAGAAGACCTCACAGAAGAAGAATGGAGCCGAATGACCTTTGCTGAGAGACGAAGCACACTTGAAGTGATGGGTCAACAAGTGTTGGGAGAATCAGCACGAAGGTTGTTTGATGCTTTCGTTGCCGGTTCCCGGCAGAGAGCAGAGGAACTGACCCCGGCACTACTTCAGGACCAACAAGAAGAACAAGCAGAAGAAGATCAAGGTCTTGATAGTTTGATTGAAGAAAGGTCAAGGTTCCGACGTCGAGTTCAAGCTGTAAGTACTACAATGTCTCCAGGAACACCAGATAGCACGGAGGCAAGAACCCAAGGGCCCTTGGGATTTGGAGAAATGTAAATTGGGGTTTAACAGCAGAAGAAGCAAGCGTGAGGGCGGAAGAGCCGCCCAAGGAAGAAAGATGAGGGCGGAAATCGCCCAGGACAGAAATGTTTCACAGTGGAAAAGCTTTCTTTGGAAGAGCTTGTGAGAAGCGTGGTAAATCCACAGCCACAGCCAGGAGGACTGCGTAAAGGACCCAAGGCACACGACAAAGCACCACGAACGTGTTTAAAGAAAAGGCAGTAAAGGCTGAGAGAGCCAGAAAAGGCTGAAAGAGCCAACAAGGCTTAAAAGCCAAAGTTCTTTTTGCAAAGACTCTGAAGGGAGTTATGCCGAACGAACTGCCTCGTGTACCGCGAGATGGAAAAATAGTGAGAGCGCATGAGTTTTAGTTGGCAGAGCGACTGTTGTGAAACAATGGTCAGCCTAGCAATTCCGTTTACAGGACTAAAAGCCAACGACATCCACAACAAGCACAAAGCGAGAAGAAGAAAGAAGAAGTGAAGCGGTTAAAAGTGCTCAAAAGTGAAGCGTGTGAGAAGTGGAGAAGCTCACAAGAGCATGCGAGAACCGTGTGGATGTAGGGAAAAGTTTCACAAGGATCACGTCACACGACAAAGCTGTGTACGTGATGAGGGCGTAACAGACAGTTCAATTTTCCCTCATGCCCGTTTACATACAGGAATCCAGTGTTTCACCGCAGGTCAAACGTAGGCTCAAGCACAGCCCGACAGCGGAGCTCAGAGTGAGAAAAGAATCCAAGCTCGCGCCGTGGTTATAAGAAGTATACTGGTATAAGGGTTTAAACTTTCACTCTTGCACTCACACTCTCTTTCGCACCCTTCTCACATGAATAAGAGAGAAGGCTAAGAGAGGAGGAGCGGAGAGCGAGGATGAAGGTACGGAGAGGAAAATGGGACATGCATGCTCCTTTTCGCTGGGTTTTGCCCGGCACTTGTCTTCCTCTTGATCCCTCTCTAGCCCCCGCTCTCGCTCTTCCTTGGGAGAGGAGACTTGCTTGGATAAGCTCGAGTACTTTTGTTCTGCTCAGGTGCTGACATGTTGCGAACAGGCGACGTCCTCTTTGCCTTGGGAAGTCCCATTGGCTACTTCGGGGGCATTGCGCTCTCATTGTAGCACCGTGCGAAACTCAGCCAACCGGTCGCTGTGATTGTTCCACTGTCCCATCCTGCAGCCCGGCGCTGAGTGTCATCTCCTGGCAACGCCATGCTTTTCTTCCAAGGTCTCAGGGCTATCTCGTCTGGCCCGCCGCATTCCGCTCCGGTGAACATGGCGACAACCGGCAAAGCAGTTGAAGCTAGGAGCTGAAGGACTCATGCTTCATGGCTTGACATTCACGCCGGTCCATCGCGCTCTAGCTTTCTGGCTGAGGTGTTGCAAGGATCAGTTCCTGACGACCGTGGCGACTGCGCGTAGAAGGTCAAGCAGCGCGAGTGATTTAGAGCAACCCTTCGGTGGCAACGTGCCAGTACCAACTGGGAGGAATTCTGCTGCGCAGCGTCCCCGCCTGTTTTACGCAGTCGCCCAGCCCTCAGGGGCATCTCCCGGCAGAGCCTCGTTCCTTTTCGTTTGCTCTGCAAGCCGAAAAGGCCCAATCGTCTCAGCATGATCCCCGTTTTGCCGAGGTCACGCTGGAAGGCATTCCATACTGCTTCTGGGCTCTGACTGGATCAGCCTTGTTATGCTTTCATCGTGTCGAAATCGCGTCAGTCAAGGCTACTCGGCCTGCGCCCCACAGAATGCTTGGAAAGACTGAGATGCATTCAGGCAAGACTGAAAGGGGCAACCTTTTGTCTGAGGTCCTTTTCGAGATGTTTCTCAAAGCCGAAGGGAGCCCAAAGTGTGTTGGTTCCTGAGCCACAGCTTGGGGCCGTGTTTTTCCGGTTGATTTTCACGGTTTGCCCACGAGGTTTGTGCTTTGATCTGCCTTTGAAGGGTCCTTGCCGCTGCCCAACTGAGGTCGTGACCGGTGAGCCCATCGCTTTCTTCCCCTATGTTTGTGTGGCTTTGCAGCT